AATTATTGATTTTGTAGACCCGATATTTCTGTAACAAAGCAATGAAGAGAATTGTTCTTTTTTACCAAGCAATTGCCCATGAAGTTTGCCACAAAAATGGTTCTTATCGTTTTTGAATCCGATGTTTCATTTAGTTTCTGCAATTGTTCTACAAATGGTCACTCCAGTGACCAAGAGGGGGTAAAGGGTTAAGCAGGAGAAACACTTCAGACTATTGCAGCTTTGCTTTTAGTTAATTTTACATACATTACATCATACATCGTCATTCTGTTATACGATAGTTCGATATTCTCTGCCTCAGGCATATTGAATAATACTGTTCTCAATATTTTCACCGGTGAATTCATTCACCGGTCCGGTGAAAATATTCATCGATGCGACTTTTGACGGTTTCCCTTAAGCAGAAAAAAATTGTATTTATTATCCCATGAAAATATCTTTTCATGCGCAAATTCAGTTCTACCCTGTTCTTTTCTCACACTGACATACCAACTGAGTAAGTTCAAGTAATAAATCAAGATGCAATATAAAGCATACACATCAAGCATACACTCGGCTAAAAGGGCAATGATGCATTTTACCGTTACACTGTTGCTTATTTGCACAGGCTCTGTCGAGTTACGGCTAACGAGTGATCAAATTAAGATCTACCTTCTTCGAGAAGACAAAGCGTCTTCTTCTACGAGCAGTACATGGCTTCAGAACAGGAATATCATCGGTCTCGGTTATAACCCTGTATACGGGAATCCGGTTTGTTACACCGGTCTGTGTCAAATGGACGGATTTCAACGACCCATTTTTCAACTAAAGTATAATCAAACACCTATAGGGACATGCACAATGAAAGTCATCCCGGAAAATGTTGATCTCCTCTGTTTGAATGGCGTTGAGGTACAAGCGGGTACGCAGATCATTAGTTCCTTGGAACAGCTGCAAGAATCAACAATGAGAGGAATCGATGTATCGACCGGCTTGCAATACATGGATCTTTCGTTCTCATACAAACATTCAGAACAGACCAAGTATATGGTCGACAATATGGTCAAGAAACAATATGAGATTTTGTATACAAGTGCGAAAATAAGTCTGGTGAAATTGTCAATGTTTGAGCCGTCGATGGCTTTGTCAACACAGTTTCGAATGGTTATGGACAATATGCCCTGTTGTACTTACTCGAAGGAAGCGGAAAAATACATTTTCGATTACATTTTTGGCTATTTTGGTTTTGCCTATGTAACTGAAATCATGTTGGGCGGCATTGCACAGCAGAATATGTTTATTGACCAGGTAAACATCACCACCATCGAACAGAAAGGCTATGAACGATCAGACGAAGCACAAATTGAATTCTATGTTAAATTGAACGTCAAAGACACGTACAAATATGATAAGACAAAACATGATGAGTTTATGAAATATGTAAAAGATACCTACGTCACCATTCTAGGTGGCGATACACACATTCAAACGTTGGATGAATGGCAAAGACGATTGAAATGAATCCGGTAGTGATTAAGTTCGGCATTAAATTCATCTTTAATTTACTGACTCAGAAACGATTTCCCGACGACAAAATGATAGTTAACAAGTCAAAACTGATCGAAACGGCGTTGGCCAGTTATGTGCAAGATCCCTTCTACTGTTATGGTAATTGTTCGAAAAATGGTGTGTGTGAGCCGACGGGTTATTTTCAGTTCGGAATGTGTAAGTGTAATTCAGAGCGGACCGGGCTGGATTGTGCAACTGAACGAAAAGGAGAACTTTTGAGCGGGACATTGTGTGGCACATTTAGTCGCATAGACAATTGGAACAATGAACTGCTGCGAGAGTCAGGGACGTCATGTTCCGGCGTGAATCCTCAATCTGCTTATCCATCCAGCATCTCACGTCAAGAAGGGATCACACTACAAAAATACAATCCAGATAGAAGTTCTTTTTACGGTCTCATTCCACACGTTCCCCACCTCCCAACGATAGATAATTATTACATAAACGTTTGCTATGCAAATACAACTGATAAAAAAACGGTCAAGAATGGTATTCTTTGCGGCCTGGTTTATGGTAATTTGAATATACAATGTGGTGGTAGGAACGTGTACTCTGAAGCTTGTTCAACAGGCTATCAGCGATACGAGTGGGAGTATATCACCTACTGTTACAAAGTCGACTCAACTATTGATGATTTATCGGGCACCTTATGTGGTATCTATGTTGAGCAGCCGTTTTACAAACAAATCAATACCATTGAAACTCTTTGTGGTGATTATTATCTATCAAGGGGATCGTGTCCCACGGGGTACACACTACAGAAAGGAAGCCGAGAAAATCCTTGTAATCCACTTTTCTACATACTTCAGAGTTGTCTCTCGAATATGTATATTTGTTCAAAAAATTAACTAAAAGCAAAGCTGCAATAGTCTGAAATGTTTCTCCTGCTTAACTTGAAACATAATCATGCATCGGAACTGATTTTCTTTTAACATTCGTTATAAACAAAATATTCACACTGTTCTTTCTTCACGTCAAGAAGACAATAAATTCTTCTGACAATAAAAATTTCCGTCTGCATAAACAAAATATTTACGCTGTTCTTTCTTTTGGAGCTATTCTTTCTAGTTTAGGTAATTTTTCGCCTATGCCGACGGGTTATTTTCAGTTCGGAATGTGTAAGTGTATTTCAGAGTGAACCAGGCTGGATTGTGCAAGTGAGCGAGAAGGAGAACTTTTGAGCGGGACATTGTGTGGCACATTTAGTCGCATAGACAATTGGAACAATAAACTGCTGCGAGAGTCAGGGACGTCATGTTCCGGCGTGAATCCTCAATCTGCTTGTCCATCCAGCATCTCACGTCAAGAAGGGATCACACTACAAAAATACATTCCATATAAAAGTCCTCGAATATTTAAAATTGTTCAAAAAATTAACTAACAACAACGTTACTCATTAAAAGTAACGTTATCTATAAAGGACTTATAAAACTGCTTACATATCACAGTGGGCATTTTTTCATCATGCGTCATTAAAACTAAAGTTAAATAAATCATATTTATCATATTTGTCTCTGTTATACTTTAGGTCGTTAAATGGCATATCTAAGTCTGTTTTAGAAAAGTCTTTTATACACGAAAGTGTTGTGAAATTCATTGCATGGAATATATATATATATTTTTATTCACGACTTCTGGAATACCACTAATAACATTCGATTTTCTACAGAAAAAATCCCGACAAAAGCTCATCATCATCATCGTAGTAAACGTTTAATACCACTGATTGCCGGCGTTATTGCTGGTGTTCTCGGTCTTCTTTTCATGAGAGATATAACCATTAATAACACGATAAAAGGCGCGCATATGAGTAATCGAATATCACAAATTCAAAGATCTGTTTCTGACACCAACAAACAGTTGCATAGCTTAGAAGTCTCCGTAATGACTAATACAAATAGTACCATTCAGCTAGCACGCTCGTTTAGTAAGGCTCAAGAAAATATGGAGACCATGAGAACTAACATGGAAATCATAGTTACGCATGTTTCCCGGCCAGATTCTTTTGTTGAGGCGCAGACGCCTTATAATTGGAAATCTCATGCAGAGCATGTGTATGAGAGAATGAAGAATTCTATACGTCGTATCGAGCGCAACGGTCTCAACTTAGATTTCGTCGGAATGACCGACCAGAATGAAATTTTTGAAATTGCCTATGAACGTCTTAGGTATTCAGTGCCTAGCTCTAAAGAGTCAAAAGCCAGATTTGTATCGCGCATGCTCTTTGCGCAGACTGT